TTGAGAACTATTGAGAGAGTAGAAGATAATATTTTTGTGAGTGAAAAGAATGAAGGATTTGGGGTATTTATAGTTTAAAGGGAAAAAGGACGGATTTACTCCCGAACTTTAATAAATGGTACGTCTATGCCCTCCGTTATACTTTCCGTCCACATAAGCCCCTGCCGTCCAATTATAGGTACACACATACCCCTCTCACTAACGGCCCCCTCATTTTTTACACGTGTCTTAAATCTAATCAACTACCCGTTTGACCTTTCTTTTTAACCCATAAACCAACTACCCGCCCCATAAACCCAATACCCACCCAATTTCCTCTAAGATATATCTTATTATTTAGTTTCCTTTTTCAATTTTCCCCTAAACTTCAAACTTTAAAAAATCCCCTAAATTCTCGTTCTAGGAGAAAAAAAATTCTCTTTGGGTCTGAATCTTCTCTCTTCCAGTGACTTTATTGCACTTTCCTCTCTCGATTTCTCCACAATTTTGGTTGATTGAATTCTGTGTGCATGCAAAGTTTTGATCTTTGTGTGGTGGAGTATTTTCAACATCGTGATCGGTGGAGGGGTGGTATAGAGCTCTATGAATTTGGAAGGATTAGGGTTTGGATGTGATCTGTTGTTGTTTGTGGGTTTGTGTAAATGCTCGTGGGAGGGGATCTAGGGTTTCTCTCGAGCTTGGTGGTGGCAGCGTTCATGGCGGTTTTTGGACCAGTGTCAGGTTTTATGGTTAGACGGAAATGGAGGCGTTCGGTGGCGAGGAGGGATGAGATCAAGAGGTTGTTGGTTTTGGCTTCAGAGGAGGCAGCCAGGGTTGAGCTACAAGCCGCTGAGGAATATGGGTATGATTATGGGTATAGGTGTGAGTCGCTGAAGGAGGAGTATGAGGTGTTTGTTGAAACACCGGCATCATCAGCACCACCACCAACAATTTCAACATCATATTCTGGGTCTTTTAATTAGGATTCCTTTTAGAGGAAATTGGGTGGGTATTGGGTTTATGGGGCGGGTAGTTGGTTTATGGGTTAAAAAGAAAGGTCAAACGGGTAGTTGATTAGATTTAAGACACGTGTAAAAAATGAGGGGGCCGTTAGTGAGAGGGGTATGTGTGTACCTATAATTGGACGGCAGGGGCTTATGTGGACGGAAAGTATAACGGAGGGCATAGACGTACCATTTATTAAAGTTCGGGGGTAAATCCGTCCCTTCTCCCAAATATCTATATGAATAATTATTTTTTAATGGGTGTGTCAAGTCAAATTGTGACAAGTAGAAATGAAGAGAGAGTAAAAGACAAATTAAAAGTAATTGTAAACGGTAAGACAGATTAATTTTTATGAAATTTTACAAAGAAAGATAAATTTTGTTTTCATGTTTGCTTAAGAAAAGGGAAGACATTTTTTGAAACATTTATCATTCAAAACTCATAAATAGAAAATGAAAATAAATTATCTATAAGATATAACCAATTATTAGTAATATAACTTGCCAGTATTTCCTGAAACTAATTGAGGTTTGCATGAATTTATTTAAGCACCACGATTATAAATTAAAAGCAAATGAAAAATGTGTCTATTTGTTTATTGAGGGGGTAAACCTTTTTGAGGACAAAAACAAAAATAAAAAATAGCAGTTTCCCTTTTTTTGATACGGTAATAATAATAATAATAATAATTTTATTAATAATGGGAAAACCTCACGTAGACAAGAAAAGGCTCCCCCATCTCTTCCCTCTCTGGCTCTTGAACAAAGATTCATTACAGGCAGCAAAAGTATCTCTGAACTTCTAGTTTACTGGACCATTTGTTTTTGCAGTTTCTGTCACGTAAGTCAAAAAGGTGTTCAAAACTACAAATAAAAAATTAGTTCAAGGATAATAGGACCTTAGTTTAGTTAAGATATGTCTGTGAGATTTCAGTCACTTATTAAAATCATTCTCATTGAAGAAGAAACAGATATAGAAGTTTCATTTCAATTAGCACCATCCCAAACCATCAAGAGCAAATCTGCTTCTTCAGCATATATTGCTTGGTTCTAATTGAAATGAGACTTGCTTCTTCTTCAATGGGAATGGTTCAGATAACCGAAGTTTGCTATCATCATAACTTTGGTCCAGATCTGATGAAGTGTAAGAACTGTATGGAAATAGGAGAAACAACGGATTAAAACCAAGTAAATTGAGACAAAGAAAGCTATAAATCTAAGAGATAATCCATAAATTACATACTTTGGAGGAATTGCGGACCGACGCAAGGATAAACGCACTCTTTTTTTCTTATGATCCTGATCCCCTGCTTCTTTACTTTCTTCACTAGTAACCACATGACATTCCTCGTTCAAATGAAACTACCAATAACAACATTAAAAGAGCTATTACGACAATGTGTGTGGAAACTACACATATAAAGGTACCTCCTATCATGATTTGTAAGAAAGTCTCTTTTTTGACTTCTTCAGGCAATGTCTTTCTTCAAATGATGAGCTAACAATACTTTGATTCGTCCTCTGTAACTGTGGATGTTGTTGAGATCCCCTACCGACTTTTGACGGGCAATCCTCTTCTCGATAATGTTTTACTTGTTGAATGGTAAAATATGCAAACTTGTTTAGAATTGGGACAGTTGAAAGTCGCCTTGAGATGATGGTGAAGAAAAGAAAGATTCTAGATACCAGCAGATGAGAGACGAGAAGACATGCTTGAAGATGCAATAGTTTTTGGATCCAGTTATGTCTAACCGATTCGCCAGTTCGTTTGCTTACTATCCTTTGTGTTTGGGGATGTACAAGTGCTCCTATTTACAGTCTCACGATACAATATGTCCAAAAACAAGATATATGTGCAACCTCAGTGTGAGATTTCTTCTATTTGCGCTATGGCGAGGAGTCAGGATCTTAACATAGATAGTTGATCGAATTCATTGTTTACTTTTCCTAAACGATATACATAAATTATTATATATTGTTATACACATCATAATAATATGCAAGCCAAGCTACTTTGCAGCTCTGAATAAAATGCAGTTCATTGTAATATGCAAGTCTTTACTTAATTCCAAATGAATCTGTCATTCGATCTAGTTCCTCCACCAAAGCTTAATGAATCCCTCTTTTTCCCGATCCAGTTCCTCCACCAAACACAGACTCCAATTAAATTCAGGCATGTTCTGTCCTGACTCAAGTTCAGCCAATTGGGTTGGCAAATCAAATATGGAACTGAGTTGTCTTCTCTACAACTGACTCAGTGGATACTTATGAGCAAATGAGAAAAGGTCAAACCATTTCACTGCCAATCCAGAAACATTTAGTTTAAACCCCTCTTTGCTCATTTAGCAAATCAGAAGTTGCCATATATATGTAGTCCTTGTCCCTGCCTGTCATCTGCAAAATGGAGTCAAGCTAACTCAAACTGCACATTTGGATAGAGCATTAGGAATTAGGTACTGCAAATAAATGAGTGTAAGAAATGGATACAAGAGAAAAATACCATGCCATGTGATGTTTACCTTCTCGAGTTTATGTTTGTAATAAATGATTGCTGCAAGGCATATAAACCAGTATTTGACTTGACTCCCCCATCAAACAGCATTGCACAAAACAACTTGAACAGTGCAATTGCCAAACATGTTTGGTCTCAAAATATTTGGCAGACAAATGGTGATTATGCGATACGATCTATAATATGAAAAAGATAACCATCATTTTAGTAAGGGTTAATAAGAAGCACCTAAGTCCCAATCCCAAACAGCATACGAAACAACAAATGGGAAAAGGATAAACCATTTAACAAGGAAAATGAAATATTTGACAGACCTAGGGACATTATGCATTAGGATCTATAATACGAAAAATATTACTACCATTGTAGTAGGGTCAATAAGAAGCTCCTAGTCCCAAGAAAGGAACAGCACAAGAAACAACAAATGGGAAAAGGTTAAACCATTTAACAAGGAAAATGGAATATTTGTCAGACCAATGGTGATTATGCAACAGGATCTATAATACGAAAAAAGATTACTACCATTTTAGTAGGGTCAATAAGACGTTCCTGGACCCAAGACGGGAACAACACAAGAAACAACAAATGGGAAAAGGTTAAACCATTTAACAAGGAAAATGAAATATTTGGCAGGCCAGTGTTGATTATGTAACAAGATCTATAATATGAAAAAGACTACAACCATTTTAGTAGGATCAATAAGAAGCTCCTAGTCCCAATACAGGAACAACACGAGTACAACTTCACAGCCTTGGTAGATAATTAATGCAAGGCATATAAAGCAGTATTTGACTTGACTTCCTACTCCCAACACATAGTTTAGCTAAGAAGTGTTGTTTCTTGTTTGTTGAATAGGTCTGACATCTGATTTTCCTTGGCCAAACATTCTTTCCTCGTAGAAATTAGTTTTCCACCCCCAACTTAATCCAATTGATTCTAAAAAGCACTAAACTATATTACCATCCAAATAGCAAGTGGTAAGTGTCTTTCTCACAAAACTGTTTGCCTGCATTTTTTGCCCCCCTTCCACCAATTAAACCTACCCCTAATTTTTTATTTTTTTTCCAAAAACAAAAAAAAAATCTGTTTTTTCAATTAAGTTTGAAAATTAATATTTTATTTTTATTTTTTAGCACAATTAAGAATTTTGAGTGGAAGTGAAAACTAAGTGATCTATTATGGATCAATATGGATACCCATATTTAACCCATTTTGACCATCTAGAAAAATGTTTCAAAAGAGAACACATTTGAAGTTAGAGAACTACAGATATGAATTTGTAAACATATGTACAAGAGTGATAGGCAATTGGAATGAACAGATGAAAATATTTGCAATAAATATTCACAGTTCCTTCAACATCACTTGTTGGACGCCCTCCCAGATACAGGCTCTCAGCCTACACAGATGACTGATGAGAATGATTACTTTAAAATGAATTATCCAAATTCATAGAGTATATAATGGTGTTTGGACCTTTTTAGTTATTTTATCAATTTCATCTATGTAGACAACCTCTTGTTGAGTTGCTTCAGCTTGACATTGAATTCAGCAGCCTGCGAACAAGCCTGAAAACAAAAAATCTATAATTGAATGACTATGCTACTGATGGTGCAAAAGTGAAGCAGATTACAAAAGAGAAACCATTCAATCTTGGTATATTTTAAACGAAAAATAAAACAATAAATAACCCAGAAATCTATATATGATCTTAACCAAGTATTTCACTATTAAAGATTCGACAAACAATTACAACCCCAGAAAAGAGCCTAAAAAGTAGTGACCAAAACATTCATCGGACAACTTTCTTCACTAAAGAAAAGACATAGTAGAATCTTGGTAAAAAATCACAAAGATAGTGTAAATTCTAGAACATATGAAACCAGTAAAGCAAAAGAATATTAATTACATTGAGAATTACAATCAAGAAACATCAAGAATTCAAATTTTCCAACATAAAACCCTAAAGAACCTAAGATGCAATCAAAAGAAGGAGAGTTTCAAAGAGGGGAGTTTCTTTGACTTCACCGAAAATCTTGAAATCATAATAGGAATATCCATTGAAATAGAGAGAGGAAGCTTACTTTAATGCCAGAGAAAAGAGAAGGAGAGTTTTTTTTTTACTTAACTGAAAATCTTGAAATCACCAATACTAATGAGACACAGAGAGAGATTTAAGATCTTAATAATCATCTCAAGGAACTGCATAATGTACATGTCATCCCGCCTACCCACCAACATCCAAAAAAAAGAAGAAGGTGAAATAATGTATTAAACTAAATCTTTAAATTTCAGAATCTTGATGAAAAAACACGGTCAAACTCAATGAAAAATCAGAAGAAGAAAAAAAACAGCTAATAAGTACAAGAATGATAGAAAATCAAGAAACATAACAAGAAGAAGTAGACTTCATCAATCATTGACTAAATCTTGATTAAAATAATGTATTAGACTAAAACACTGTCAAACTTGATGAAAAATCAGGAAAAAACAACTGATAAGTACTAGAAACATAACAAGAAGAAGTAAATCTTGATTATTAGAAACGTCAAGGCACTGCATATTGTACATGTCGTCCCCGCCTACCCACCAACACCCAAAAAAAAGGTGAAATCATCTAAAGCATTAGCCTACATCTTTAATTTTCTTTGAATTTTTAATTTAAGATCTTCATCAATCTTGAGGAAAAAAACAGTGTCAATCTTGATAATAATCTTGATGAAATCAGAAGAATAACAAGTACTAGAATGATGGAAAATCAAGAAATTAGAATCATATCATCAGAAACATGACAAGAAAAAAGTGTAATAAACGGACGAACCCAACTACACTCCCATTAGCCATTATTGAAGCAGAGAGGAACTGAGTCGTTTTTTTTGGGTGGAGAAATAAACAGCAGCGTGGTAATTTATATAGAGAGCAGCTTCAAGTTGACGTGTTGTTTATTTTATAGTCCGTGTCCATTATAGAAACACTACAAATTTATTTAATTGTTATAAATAAAAATTATATAAAGTGATTTTTAAAAAAAATATGTAAGTTTTTCAAGAATTAAGGATCACAAACATATTTAAATTATTTCAGAGAAAGGGGTAGATATATGTATAAAATTGGACAAAATAAATTATTCCCGCGAGATCAATTTGATGTCACTTTTTATTATTTTCCTATGTACTTATTCTATTTTTACTTTGCATAATGTTGATGATTGATTGTACATGAATGAATGTAAGTAATCTTAATGATATCAGTTACAATATTATTACAGACGGAAGCAAATAAAAACGTAAAAACAATTAAATGAAATGAGTAAAATAAATAATAACAAAAAAAGAAACAAGAAAAAAAAGTTGAGAAAAAATAAACGAATAAAGAAATAAATGAGAAAAAGAATTACGCAATCATTTGAATATATATTCTAAAGGAAAAAGGAAAAAGATCAAATCTTAGTGACTATAGTATGCATGCTTAAATTGTTCCTGAAACCCTTACTCCATACCTTAGATCCGCAACTCAAGTCTCAAGTTTCTGGAATTCAGAATTTGTAGGAAACTATGATTTCTTTATATTTGTACGAATATGAAATATGTAAGTTTTTTTCACTCAATTTCAAATGAAGTTGTGTCAGCTGTCATTCGATCTAGTTCCTACACCAAAGTTGATCTATCTCTTTCTCGTTTAATTTATCAACCCAAAGCTTAACGAATCCCTCTTTTTTTCGATCCAGTTCCTCCACCAACATTAAATTCATGCATGTTCTGTCCTGACTTAAGTTCAGCCAATTAGATTAGCAAATCAAATATCAACTTGTCTTCTCTACAACTGACTATGTGGCTACTTATGAGCAAAAGTTTTGTGCTCCTATATATGTCCCTTTTCTGAGTTTCAAGTTCTCTACAACTGACTCAAGTAGAATTGACTTTTGTCGTAGACAAGTTGACTCCAGTTTGCTTATTATCCTTTGTGTCTACTTCTAAACTTTTATCGGACAACTGAAAAGTAATACGGGGGAGTTTCTTCTGTTTTTTCTATGGCAATGTGTCACAATCTAAACACAGATAGCCAGTAGAATTCACTTTTTACTTTTTTCTAACTTATATATAAAAATTATTACTATATATTATTATACACATATAATACATGAATTATAATCGCCAAATTTAAGTGGTTGAACGGAGGACTAACATGGTTATTCAGGTTTTATAAAGCAGCAATTTTGTAAGACCTGTCACAATTCACAAACCCATAACTTAGAATTTGTCAAATCTTTAACGTCCCAATATGTGTCTGTTAGGTCATAGACCATAGTCGAACATTTTGTTGCAACGTTGCTTTTAGTCTATTAAGGCGGATCCAAAAATTTATGAACTTTCAATATTTCAAATTAAAAAAGAAAATTTATTTATACGTGTCCAAGGAGAAAGAAAAAAAAAAGCAAGTTAAGTGTGTGTTTCTTCACTATCATTGGGGGAAAAAAGCAAGTTAAGTGTGTGTTTCTTCACTATCATTGGACTGAGTGGAAGCATAAGGTTTATGCAAAAGTTGTTTCCAAAAACCCAAACTTGATACCCTAGATCCACCCCTGCCATTAAATATGCAGTCCAAGCTACTTTGCAACTCCGAATCAATTGTTGTTCATTGCATATTGGGGGATTCCAAATGAATCTGTGCAAGCTGTCATTTGAAAGCGAGATGAATCTATCTCTTTCTCGTTTGTATTAATATAATAGTTAATTATGAACCTTTTTTCTTTTCAGATCAAGTTCCTCCGCCAAGGTTGACCTATCTATTTCACACCTAATGAATCCCTCTTTTTCCAACGCGAACCCCAGTTAAATCTTTGCTTCATTCGACTGAAAATGCATTATTTTCAGGTAATTCATGTTAGTGACGACTCTAAAGTGTAGTTTAAGTTGAACCATTCGTCAATACAAACTCTGGTCATGAAGTAAGTTGTCGGGAAGATAAAAGGAATTGCCTTTATTTATTTCCTCTTTCCTGTTAAAGCAGTGGTGGGGCCAAGCAACATTTCCTCCAACCAAACTTTATTTCAAATGTCAACCATTATCCCATTATTATTATTCGATTTAGTACGATTTTCACAAGAATTTAATAAACTTCGGTCTATCAAATCCTTCATTACCTTATCAATTCCCACTTAATTATCTTAAATTTATTATTGATATCAAACGGTCACTTCTTCATTTTTAAAGTGAGGGGAGGGAGGGGTCAATATACTGGATTGTAATTGCAATTAGGAGAGCAAAAAAACGACTTCAAAACCTGTCGAAAGAGAATTATTGTCCAAGGCAAAAAACGCTTCATCCAACTTCAAAGTTTCAAAGGACAACTCCTTCAAGATTTTCAGATAAAAGCCAGGTCTGATTCTAAAATTTTAATCCAAGTTTTAAAGATCTGCTTTTCAAAATTTCCCTCAAACGGGAGTGCTTTTGTTCTAACAGCTGTCTGTACAGTTGCCTTTTGTCACTAGTTTCCTGTATAAAAGAAAAGAAATACCCCTTGAGTCATGTCCTCACTTTACGACATTCTCTTAAAATCCCGAGCTTCCAAAATCCCCCCAGACCTCTTTTGTCCGGATATATCATGCAGGAAGGGACAAGAGGAACCATTACGGCATCCCCTAGGTTCATTAAAGAAAACACAACGCGTCAAACTGCACTGAATCGGTTTTTGGTTCATTAACAAACCTGGCACCCGTGTATAATTACCACGAGGATTGGTATTTTGCAAACGATCATCAACTGCAGACTCACAAATTTCTCCATGTTGCTTGATCAAGGACTTGCAGTAATTGATATCCTTGTGAAGAGGGGTAGGACTAGTCATTGAGGAGAAAGGGGATGTATGGCCAACATTGGGTGAAACCACATCATATTTGGAACAAGAAGAAGGAACCAACTCAGAATTAACCAAGGGCTTTCCTCCTACATTGTCAGGTACTCCATATTTGTTAATCAGTTTCTTAATCTTTTCCAGATTTAGGTCTGAAG